CAGGCGTGAGATGATGAGGGAGTGTACGAGTTGTTTGGTGGTGTCTGGGGTGAGGAATGTGCGTATCTTGGAGATGTTGCGGAGGTGGAGCCTGCAAGATCTAGATAGCAGTTGGATGTGGGGTAGGAAGGAGAGGTGGGAGTCCAGGGTGACACCCAGGACTTTGGCGTGTGGGGTGGGAGAGATGGTGGCGTTGTTAGTAGTGATGGAGAGGATGGGGGGGGGCACGGGGTGGGGGGAAGACCAGGAGCTCGGTTTTGGATAGGTTAAGTTTGAGGAAATGGAGCGACATCCAGTCTGATATGTCGTTTAGGAGGTGGGCGATGCGGGCAGAGAGTGAGGTGGGGGGTGGAGAAGTTGGAGACTGTGGGTGCAGGGAATCTAGGCAGCACTACTCTCTGCACGATTGACGACTGCCCACTGTCAGATGAAGACTAAAGAAGCCCCTGTGGCATCACATGGCTGGCCTGAAGACCTCTGAAAATGGTAGGTGTTATAAAAAAAAAAAAAAATATATATATATATATATATATATATATATATATATATATATACAAATTAAATACTGCTGGAGGGACTTCAAGTGGCAAGGAGGGAGCACTGGAGGGCAGGAGAGGTAAGACTAGAAATGGACTTTAACATGTAGTGTTCAACACATTAACTACGTTAAGGAAGATGATTCATTTTGAATGGGTCAAAAAAAAAAAATACATGGCAACAGCCCCAAAAAAACACACAAGACTTTATTTTTTTTTTTTTTTTTTTTTCTCTCTCTCTAAAAGCACAACACACCACTATGTACAGCATGTGAATGATGGTGCTCTGTATAGTGGGTGTGTGAGTGCTGTAATTGTGCATTGGGATGTCATTCTAAGCAATTGCCATGCCAGTACACAAACTGCCATGCATTAAAACCTGTTGGCACAATGCATAGATCAGAAGAGGCTAAATGTTAGACTGTAGAACTGTAGACTTTATTACTGAAAAAAGCAATTACACGATTGCAACATATATATTGTATATCAGGTAGGTTGTGGCGTTTAAAACGATGCTCAATTGGTACTAAGGGGCTCAAAGTGTGCCAAGAAAATATCCCCCACACCATTACACAACCACCACCACCACCGGCCTGAACCATTGATGCAAGGCAGGATGGATCCATGCTTTCATGTTGTTTACGCCAAATTCTGACCCTACCATCTGAATGTCACAGCAACCAGTCTGCCCATTCTTTCTCTTACCTCCTGACATCAACAATGCATTTTTGTCCACACAACTGCTGCTCACTGGATATTTTCTCTTTTTCGGACCATTCTCTGCAAACTCTAGAGATGGTTGTGTGTGCAAATCCCAGTAGATCAGCGGTTTTTTGAAATACTCAGACCAGCCCGTCTGGTACCAACAACCATACCACGTTCAAAGTCACTTAAATCCCCTTTCTTCCCCATTCTGATGCTCGGTTTGTCCTTCAACAAGTCATCTTCACCACGTCCAGAGGCCTAAATGCATTGATTTGCTGCCATATGATTTTCTGATAAGCAATTTGTGTTACCAAGCTATTGAACAGGTATACCTAATAAAGTGGCCGGTGAGTGTTTGTATATATATGCCAATAAAGGAAAGTGTGTACATGAATACAAAGGTGCACCATAAACTAGATAAGTTAAAGCCACAGACAGGATAACATTTTAATAAAAATGTATTTAAACTGAACTCCTGTCAAGCAGCTAAGCGCACAATTGAAATATAAGGGAGTTGATTTACATAACAAATCATTTAATCTTCTGTGTCTATTTAGTCTTGAGAATTAAATAGCCTTTTCAGACAGTAGTGGCAGAAAGATGACAGGTTTCTCTAATTCATATTTATACAGATAGCAGCACATTGAAGAGGTCATCTCTCTGCCCATCTACTGACCGTATGTTTACTTTGCACGTGTTCACGTGGGGCACTGGATTGATTTCTGGTGCTTCCCCTCCCTCTCCTAGTCAGAGCTCTACTGTCAGAGGCCAACAAAGGCTGATGCCAAGGCAAATTAATTTGCATGTAAAAAACACATTTTATTATTTTTAATGAAGAAATACAGTAACTGCATTAAAACATAAGATCAATTTTATTGAGTTCTGGTGTCCTCTCTCATCAGCCTTGACAAAACACAAAGTTAGCTGTCAAGGTGAGCTGAGTTGGGACATTCATAGTTACATAGTCTGGCTAAAAAAAGACAAAAGTCCATCCTAGTTCAACCATTACAAAAAAAAAAAAAAAAAAACGTTATAATCCTATACCATCAGTTGATCCAGAGGATTCCATTAGAGTAAACCGAGATTGTGGCACCCATGTTGGATGAATTAATAATAAACACTCCAAAATCAGTTTTCAAAAACTTTACAGAAATGTACATTTTCACTGGAGTGTTTCTTTTGACCTTTGCTATGTGTGATTTTGTCCTTTAGTGTCTCATAGCACAGAACACTCGTTGCATTAACCTATGAAAAGGCTCTATTGAATATCTATAAGACAGACGAGCAACCATTTTATGCTGTAATCCTAATGTCAGTGTAACTGTTTCTATAAATCCAACTCAGTATTTTCTTTATCATTTTTGTACTTTTTTTTTTTTTTTCTTTTTAAATATTTCATCTGAATTGGGGCACCACAAACCTTTACCATGGGACACCTTTAAATAACCAGACTAATAGGTTGCATACCTAGATTACAGCAAACAATAAGCTCTATATACTAAGCTGTACCAATTGTGTCATACTGGTTGTAATTTTCAACAAGAGCTGAGAATAGCAGTCAAAGGGTTAAAAAGGATGATCATCAGGGCCAATATTATGTATGTTACTTGTAATGTAATTGAGCCTTTTATGTTGTCTTAACATACTGTAATAGCATAACCTTACTATAAATGCTATTTAAAGCACTATTAAACCCAAAATAAAACATTTATTATATTGCAGCTTACTAATTCTTAGACGTAATGGCTGCATAAGTTTTCTCTTTTTTTTGGCTTTCTTCTATTTTCATTTTGGTGATCCAGCCAGTATACATGTTTTTCAACAGAAAAGCTCTCTTGCAGGCATGAGACAAACCATTTAACACTAACGGGTGCTTAAAATGATCAGCTGTTATTTATTTATGTTAAAAACTTTATTCCAAAAAGAAAAGAGAAAGTGTAACTGCTTAAAACTGTTAACTGTAGTTCAGATTTAATTTGGTAGTTACAGTAAGTCCACCTTAACCTGCTAGTACATCTAACACTGCTGTAGCTGATTATAAAGTATTTGCTGGAGTTCAGCTTCAATTTGTTAGTGTATTTAACCACCTCCTGTCTGGCCATTGTATATAAATGGCTGGACGGTTGCAGTGCAGGGGCGGGTAGCCGCTTATAAATGGCCTCCCCGCACCCTGCTTGTGCGCGCTCCCTGGGAGTGCGCAGCACCGCAATCCGGTGCCCACTGTGTCCTCCAGACACAGTGAAACACTGATCGTCGGACTGGACCTCTCTACGAGGTCCCGATCATGTGATTACTGATTTGGCCAATCAGTGATCACATGCAGAGTAGTAAGCAAGATGTCACTTCTGACATAATTGCTTACTACGTGTGAAATCTGTGAATGATCACAGAGGTCACATGGTACAAGGCTATTCACAACAGCCTTGTACCATGTGACAAGCTGTGACCAATCACAGCTCACCCAGTAGTTCTCAATGGCTGCAAGGATACTGCCAGAGAGAGAAGGAGAAATGATTGCTTTTATAGCCTTTATGGGTGTAAAAGCAATCAGTGTAAAAAAAAAAAAAAATATCTTCATAACCCCCCTCAAGTAGTACAGTGTCACCATGGTGACACTGTACTGCTAAGGTGACAGTATGTAAGAAAAGAAAAAAAAACATAATAATATAAAAATGTTTAAAAATTAACACTTTTGGTTCTAAACTTATTTGGGGTTTTTTTTTTATTACTAAAAAGATAACGGAATACATTTTATTTGCAAAATTTTATAAGAAAAAACACTTTTTTTCAAAATTTTTGGACTTTAAAAATCCCAGTGGTGAATAAATACCACCAAAATAAAGCTTTATCTGTCTCAAAAATGGTAAAAAAAAATTCATATGGCTACAGTGTTGCATGACTACTGCGCAATTGTCAAAAATTGGCCTGGGCAGGAAGGGGGTAAAAGTGTCCGGACTGGAAGTGGTTAAGTCTGCTAGTACTTCTGTAACTCCAGACTGACAATGCTGCTGTCCAAATGTGCCCCATATGCTCATTCATCCAGAGTGGGAGCATTCTAATGCAAGAGGTGTGTTACCAGCCAGATCACCAGGGGAATACAGAGGGGAAAACACCTAAGAAAAGTAATGCATCCACTACATCTAATGATTGGTAAGCTGTTATATGTTACATTGTTTATTTTGGGTTTAATACCACTTTGAGATTACAACTCCCAATATATGTCCATGTCCTATAAAGAAAGTTCCCATGCAGTAGTAAGTCATATTAAAGACCAATATAACAGAGCTTTTCAAATTACAGATGTGGTTATATACACACATATCCACCGATCAGCCATAAGATTATGACCACTGGCAAGTAAAATGAATAACATTTAGGTATCTCATTACAAAGGCATCTGAGAGTGGGTGGGATATATTAGGCAGCAAGTGAACATGTTGTCCCTGAAGTTGATTGGTGACTGATGAGGACAAAATTGTAATGGGTACATGACTGGAACTGGGACAATATTAGGGGGGTGGTCATAATGTTATGGTTGCTTGGAGTATATACCCTCCACCCTGTTCATGCAGGAAAGGGACAGAATCGCTGTAGAAAAAATATACATTGGTTATATCCTGTTCCAAAAGGGCTATAAAAATAATCTGGAGATATAATTTTGACCTAGAGTAAGTAATTATAAAGTACCACATAATTTGTAATATATTTATCATAAAACATTTGGCAGGTGTTACCGTAAACTCTTAACTTATATCATTCTTATAGCCTTTCCAACTCCCCATTTGGTGTAAGAACAGTGAGGTTTCCTCGTGCTGCTTGGTCCTGTTCAATAGCTTCAAATAGTGATTTAAAATTGCCAGCTCCAAAGCCCTGCAACAGTACAAAAACAATTTGTACAAATAATGTAACTACCTGTAACAATATATTCTCTATATGAGGTCAGATTTTACCCAAATCAGTATTGGGTAGAAGGTGGCATGGAAAATGAGTAGGATTAGCTTTTTTAGCACATTCAGAGTTAATAGTTGTGAATGGTGAATTAAAGGCCTGGGCATTCTTGTTAAAGTACTTCATCACTGCAGCAGATTTATCATGCCACCTTTCAGACAGTACTTGCTCTTCAGTGGGGAGTAGACCTGGACTTTAAAACATATATTTGGCCACAAGTGATCAGTGATATATTTGATATTGGTACACAGCTGCTATTCAAATGTACCCCAAATTGCTATGTTTTTGGTTGAAACAGAACGGGCTCCATGGTCAAGCTGACTGTATGCACAATATATATACATTATATTGCCAAAAGTATTGAGATTAAATGCACATGAACTTTAATGGTATCCCAGCCTTAGTCCGTAGGGTTCAATATTGAGTTGGCACACTATTTACAGCTACATTGCCTTGAAAACATATTCATACCCCTTGAAATTTTCCATCTTTTTGTCATGTTACAACCAAAAAACGTAATGTGTTTTATTGGGATTTTGGTGTCCGTTTATGATACAGAGAATAGCTGCGATTCAACGGATCTCAGCTATTCTCTGGTCATTCACAGTTTATGACACTCAGGAGATCATGTCAGCCCTTCACTGGAGATCTGTGTTCTTCCTCCAGATTCTCCAGCCCAGAGCTGGAGAATCAGAGGGACTGCAAACTAAGCAGAGATAATTTACCTCTGCTTAGTAAACTGGTCTTTTACTGTAATCTCACAAGATTATAGTAAAATCAGCCGTTTTCCAGAGTTTGTAGACCGTTCTCCAGCGTTTGGAGACCGTTCTCCTTTCGTTCGGAGAACTGCTTCATAAACTGCATTCACAGGAGAACTGTGTTCTCCGAGAATGCTGGAGAACTGAGCAGCGATCTATTACCGCTGGTTCATAAACGGACACCTTAGTGTGATAGACCAACACAAAGTGGCACATAATTGTGAAGCGGAAGGAAAATGCTAAATGGTTTTTTCAAATTTTTACAATTAAATATCTGGAAAGTGTGGTGTGCATTTGTATTCAGCCCCCGAGTCAATACTTTGTAGAACCACCTTTAACAATTACAGCTACAATTTATTTTTGGGGATGTCTCTACCAGCTTTGTACATCTAGAGAGTGACATTTTTGCCCATTCTTCTTTGCAAAATAGCTCAAGCTCTGTCAGATTGGATGGAGAATGTCTGTGGACAGCATTTTTCAAGTCTTGCCACAGATTCTCAATTGGATTTAGGTCTGGACTTTGACTGGGCCATTCTAACACATGAATATACTTTGATCTAAAGCAGGAGTGGGCAACTTGCGGCTCTCCAGCTGTTGCACGACTACAAGTTTCATCATGCCTCTGCAAGTCATAGAAACTGTCAATTTTGCAATATCTCATGGGACCTGTAGATTCATGCTTCTAACTTTTGGTCTTTGCATTGCCTCATGGTAAATATAGTTCCACAACAGCTGGAGAGCCACAGGTTGCCCACCCCTGATCTAAACCATTCCATTATAGCCCTGGCTGTATGTTTAGGGTCGTTGTCCTGCTGGAAGGTGAACCTCTGCCCCGGTCTCAAGCCTTTTGCAGTCTCTAACAGGTTTTCTTTCAAGATTGCCCTGTATTTCGCTTCATCGACCTTCCCATCAACTTTGAGCAGCTTCCCTGTCTCTGCTGAAGAAAAGCATCCCCACAACATGATGCTGTCACCACTATGTTTCACGGTGGGGATGGTGTGTTCAGGGTGATGTGCAGTGTTAGTTTTCCACCACAGAGTTTTTTGCTTTTAGGCCAAAATGTTCAATTTTGGTCTTATCTGACCAGAAGACCTTCTTTCACATGTTTGCTATGTCCCTCACATGGCTTCTTGCAAGCTGCAAATGGGACTTCTTATGGATTTCTTCTTGCCTCTCTTCCATAAAGGCCAGATTTGTGGAGTGCATGGCTAATAGTTGTCCTGTGGACAGATGCTCCCACCTGAGCTGTGGATCTCTGCAGCTCCTCCAGAGTTACCATGGGTCTCTTGGCTGCTTCTCTGATTAATGCTCTCCTTGCCCGGCCCGCCCTGTCAGTTTAGGTGGACGGCCATGTCTTGGTAGGTTTGCAGTTGTGCCACACTCTTTATCCATTTTTGGATGATGGATTGAACAGTGCTCCATGAGATGTTCAAAGCTTGGGATATTTTTTTTATAACCTAATCCTGCTTTAAGCTTCTCCACAACTTTATTCCTGACCTGTCTGGTGTGTTCCTTGGCTTTCATGATGCTGTTTGTTCATTAAAGTTCTCTAACAAACCTCTGAGGGCTTCACAGAACAGCTTCACAGCTGCATTTATACTGAGATACAATTACACACAGGTGGACTCTATTGACTAATTAAGTGATTTCTGAAAGCAACTGGTTCCACTAGATTTTAGTTAGGGGTAACAGAGTAAAGGAGGCTGAATATGAATGCATGCCACACTTTTCAGATATTTGTGTAAACATTTTGAAAACCATTTATCATTTTCCTTTTACTTCACAATTATGTGCCACTTTGTGTTGGTCTATCACATAAAATCCTAATAAAATACATTTACATTTTTGGTTGTAACATAACAAAATGTGGAAAATTTCAAGGGGTATGATTACTTTTTCAAGGCACTGTATATAACTGTTTCAACTCTTCTGGGAAGGCTGTCCACAAGGTTTAGGAATGTGTCTATGGGAATGGTATGCTGACGCCTTAAGAGTTCCCTTCACTGCAACTAAGGGGCAAAGCCCAACCCCCGAAAAAAACGAACACCATAATCTCCCCTCCACCAAACTTTACACTTTGCACAATGCAGTCAGGTAAGTACCGTTCTCCTGGCAACCACTATACCCAGACACATCCATTGGATTTTGAGACAGAAGCATGATCCATCATTCCAGAGAACACATCCCCACTGCTCTAAAGTCCAGTTGTGGCGTGCTTTATGCCACTGCATTTGATGCTTTGCATTGCACTTGGTGATGTAAAGCTTGGATGCAGCTTCTCAGCCATAGAAACCCATTCCATGAAGTTCTCTACACACTGTTGTTGTGCTAATCTGAAGGCCACATGAAGTTTGGAGGTCTTTAGCTATTGACTCTGCAGGCAGATGGCGACTTCTGCGCACTCTTCGGGAACAGCATGCAATGACCCCCACTGTGTCACTTTGCATGACCTACCCCTTCATGGCTGAGTTGCTGTTCCCAGTTGCTTCCACTTTGTTATAATACCACTAACAGTTGATCGTGGAATATTTAGTAACGAGGAAATTTCACAGATGGACTTATTACACAGGTGGCAACCTACCACAGCACCACAATTGAATTCACTGAGCTCCTGAGAGCGACCCATTCTTTCACAAATGTTTGCAGAAGCAGTCTGCATGCCTAGGTGCTTGATTTTATACACCTGTGGCCATGGAGGTGATTGGAACACCTGAATCTAATGAAGTAGAGAGGTATCCCAATACTTTTGGCAATATAGTGTATATACATACTGTGTGTGTGTGTATACACACACACACACATATACATGCACACACCCAAGTATAATGATCGTATAAGAAGTGTAATACAGTATCTGAGAAAACTTTAAAGCTGAATCCCAGGTATGGATATTTTTTCATACTTTCATTGGTCCATCTTGGACTAATGTAAGTATGCATATTCCATACATGTTGAGGTAGAGAATCATTGTAGTAGCTGCCAGTACTACAGTGATCCTCACTGTCTTCTGGGTCCCATGCCGAGCAGCAGCCCTACTCCATAGTAACTACAGGGAGTCACTAGCTCAGCACTGGCACGCTTCAGAGAACGCCTTGTACTTTTCTCAATGAATACAAGACATTATCTGATCAGACAAGGTAGAGATCCTGATGTGACTACCCCACCTCTCCATCTCATACAATCAGAGAATGCTTTGCATGCAAAGGGTTCTCTTGATGGAGCCTGTGCTGAGTGGGCTGCCCCTTTGTGGTTACTATGCAGGATGGCAAATCGCTCAACACAGGAACTGGTAGACAGTGAAAATCACACTTGTAGTGGATACACCTACAGTGATTCTCTACTTTCGCAAAGATCGGCCAGGTATGGAACGTGCATACAATACATTAGTCTAAGCTTCTCCAATGTGACTATGTCAAAAATATCAATACCTGGAATTCAGATTTAGCACCTTTATATTGTTTAAGACCTGTAAGCTGCATTGGCACTGGATCCTGCACACACCCCTCACCTTGGCATGTGGTTGTGTGTAGCTGTGTGTGTTTGTGTGTAAATTAGCTGAAAGTGTGCACTACAGGTCCAGGGTATCTATTCTGGGGTATTTGGATGAGCTGCTCTTGTGGGAACAGTAAGGGGATGGTCTCAAAATCAATGTAGTACAGCTGGTAAAAGTCCAGCAGAACTTTGGATGGGTTCTCAACTGAGAAAAAATCGACCCTAGCTGTGGAGATGAATACCAGCCTGTCAGACTGGGGGTGAGAGTTGTCAGAAGAAGCTTGGATGCCATTCAAGATCATGGAAATCCTGGGTGATTTGGCTTGCGTTTCAGCATTCCCTCCTCCTTTGGGGACTTCCAGTTACATAAATACATAAAGATGGAACAAGGAGTTCGGCCACTCACAAAGAAACTGAGCTTACTCTGAGTTGGGAAGAACTTCTCGTTCCCAACTTGTTCATGCTGCACATTCTAGACGTGACAAATTGGCAAGTGGAATTCCTACGCTGCTAATCGCTGGATCCTGCGGAGTGGTCCCTTCACCAGGAGGTGTTTCACCAACAATCTTTGGTGGGGGACACCAGATGTGGAACTTCTGGTGTCTAGATTCAACCACCAGCTGGACAGATTTGTGCCCAAATCCAAGGATCCTTGGGTCTTTGAGATGGAAGCCCTTGTTACCCTGTGGAATCTGTTCAACCTGAATTTGTGCCTCCCCTTCCTCATCCTTCTCCCCACCCACCCCCTGTCAAACTCCTGCTTTGCCTATTGTGAAGGATAGAGAGGTTAGCAACACCAGTGAATCTCATTGCACCAGATTGGCCCAGGAGGATATGGTGCTCAGACATAATTAGACTCCTAGCAGACTCTTCCATCTGGGCCTTTTGTCGCAAGGTCCTGCATTCTTTTCTGCTGCACAGTCACTGGCTTTGATGACCTAGCTGTTGATCGATAGGGGACTTTTGGACTCTGCTTTCAGGCTTGTTGAAGGCTTAAAAGCCTTTCCTAGGATGAAGCCCAGTACTTGTGTTGTGTACAAATCCTAAATGTCAGCCTCATTGCTGCACTCCTTACAGTAAAATAGACAAGCATTCTTCCGTCACTGACTGAGTTCCTAACAAAGTTCTCACACATACCTGGTGGTTTTTACGTTGAATGACTTCAAGAAATAGTGTCGGCCTGTCTTGGACTGGCTTTGTAAAAATCTGAAGCAAATAGCCTTTTTCATCATAATCCACCAGAATTTTCAGCTCCTAAAAGATTGTTTAAGAGAAATGGCATGGATACAGCTCAACAGGCTATTATTTAATAACATCAACAGACAACTTTGTTCATATTCATTCCAGAGCCTACAAGAGGGTCCTCTAGAATGCAGATCCAAAAATCTAAAAATTTGAACTTGTAAGCAGGCCATGTGTTGCAGCCTGACTGTACAATTTCCTTTAAATTTACCAAGAACTTTTCAGTATCCGATCTTGTCTGCCTGGTTATAAATTGGACAAGCTGGATCCAGATGATCCCTGTTTCCCCTTACCTTTAGAGGGTCACCTCTCAAATGCATAAGATCATACTAAATATCATGTGGAATCACAGAAAACCCAGGATAAGGCGTGCAATTTTATTACCCCAAAGAAAGGGCAGAGTTTCCTGCCGAATAGGTCATCGCACTTTCATGCATCATCCCTAATCAACATACTTGACTGGTATAAAGGTGATTCAACTATACATTGGACTACAGAATGATGCTATTTTCCCTGTCTCCTTACTTTACCGTGGTCTCCACCTGCATCCAGGCCTCCTAAAGACTCCCTTCCTCTACTGATTGCTATGGGACTTGTGTGATTATTATTCTCACCCAAGCCCAGCCCCAGCCCCTTAACACCTCTGTTTGGCAGAACTGCTTTTGCACTGACTTTGCAGCGAACCCACTTTCTATCCTGGACAAAAGGGGACAGACCCAATCACAAGCGATGCTGATATCTTTGGCATGGCTTCTTCTGTCTTGCCATATTTCTAAACGTGGCTGAAATATTTTCATCTGCAACATTTCCTGAGATCTATACCTTCGCTAGAATCTATCGATAGTCCACACACAGAGTTTACTACTCCAAACTACCTGAACAAAACACCCCATCTCTGTGCTGTATTAATTTTGATGAAGGAATCTTACTCTTGTTTGTTGCATGTTCTTCCTAGATAAAATTAGGAACTTGCAGTATCTCATGACAATATGGATTGGTAAACAATATTAACCTTTACACACAAGACCACCACCTTCTAAAGCACAGGAGCACAATTTTAAACTTCTTTCCCATAGGTGTGGATGCCCCACATTACTCCATGCCATAGATCCATCTGTTTGGTCTTTGGACATCTGCTGGAGATGCTATCTGTCCCTGGCACCATGACTCACATTTGGAGTATGTGCTGTTTGATTCTCCACTTCTGGGGCAAAATATTGGGGATATATCATAAACTGGTAGGTAACAAGATCAGGATTACCCCTAATGCACTCTTCTTGCTCAAGTCATACAGAAACATCAAGAAGGGTCTTTTATGTAATTTTGTTACCTATACCATTATTGCCAGGTATTGTCTTCTCTTTCTCCTTGTTCTCATTTTCGTTTTCTCAGGGGACTACAACCAGAGTGCTTTTGTGCGTCGTTCAATACATCTTAAGTATCGCTCCCTTGGGGGTTCCTTCCCATATGTTAAGCCATATTTTATTTCATTATTACTGTTATATTTAGTGCTGCTGTTAGAAATCATGGGGCGCCGTACAGCTTACCTGACAGGGCCTTCCCACCGCCTTAACAATATCGCTATGAAGATGCAGCAGTTTTATGAACACAGCCCCAGGTCATAATTTGACATATATGTGGGAGCAGTTGTACAGCCCTGAACACAGTGTGCATCCAACCCCACTCACCCACGCCTACACACCTGCCAAATTAAGACCTGCAGCAATATGCTTCCTCGCCACCTGTCAAATGCTCTCTGAAGAGCGATCCAAATTCTGACTGCTCTTCAGACAGCTAAGCAAATGGGAGCGAGTCCTTTTTTAATTATTATTTTTTAGAATTTTAATTTTTTTACATTTCTTTTACAATTTTATTTTTTATTACATTTCTTTTAACTGCCCTGTTGGGTGCCTTTGGAATATTTCAGCTCTGCATCATCTGAATAATTCTTCTCTATCCCATCACAGGTATTCTCTCCAGTTTCTTTAAGAATTGCTGTGATCTATCAGCCTTCTGAACCGATATCAAGCTTCCTTGATGACTTCTCTGCCTGGCTACTTTACTTTCTCTCTTCTGAAATTCCCACAATTATTCTTGATAACTTCAACATCCCTGTTAACCTTAACACTCCTGCTACTTCTAAACTTCTGAGCCTAACCACTTCTTTGACCCAAAACAATGGGCTCATGCTTCTACTCGCTCTAATTGTAACTGCCTCGGCCTTTTATTCTCGTACCTATGCACTCCTTATAACCTCACCAACTTTCCTTTTCCTCTCTCTGATCACACCCTTATTAGCTTCACTCTCTTCTTGGCTTCCTCCTCCTTGTCTTCCAACTACCGAACAGTTACCCATAGAAACCTTCACTATCTTAACCCTTCTCCTTTTTCTCAGATTGTCTCTATGACAAAATCTCAGCCCTGTCCTGCCCCAACCTGACCACTCCTGTCTACAACAGTTCACTGTCATCCACCCTGGACACATTGGCCCCCCCTCACTACCACTACAGCCCTGGAAAACAGACAATACTAGATGCCTCAAAAAACGTAGCCGCGCTCTTGTTTATGGCGTAAGACTAAGACCCAGCAAGACTTCGACCAAGATAAATCTGCCCTTCAAAAATACAATTCCTGCCAAACAGACCTATTTTATCACTCTCATTAACACCCTCTTACACAGTCCCCGTAAACTTTTTCTACCTTTAACTTTCTACTTCGTCCTTCATTACCTCCACCCAGTAACTCACTCACTGCCAGGGAGATCGCTAATCACTTCAAAAATAAGATTGATACAATTTGTGATGAAATCTCCACTGTATAGATATCTCCCTCACCTTACACTCCTTGTCCACCTGCACAATCAATACTTCCCCTGTTTAACCCAGCTACTATAGAGGAAATTGGTAAATTTTTTTCTAAAGCCCACCTAACCACCTGTCCCCTGGACCCTGTTCCCTCGCAAACACTGCGGTCACCCTCTGGCTCTATCCTTCACTCTTTAACTCATATCTTCAATCTCTCCCTTTCTATTGGCATTTTCCCCAACCCTCTAAGACATGCGCTAGTCACCCCCATACTTAAAAAGGCCTCACTGGACCCCACTAATCTTAGCAATCTAAGACCCATCTCCTTACTCCTTTTTGTCTCCAAACTCCTTGAACATCTAGTCTACAACCAGCTGAGCTGCCACCTCATTGAGAATAACCTCAATCCCTTCGGTCTGGATTTCGCCCACAACACTCCACAGAAACTGCTCTCCTAAAACTCACAAACAACTTACTAACTGCTAAAACCAATGGTCATTATTCTGTACTCTTACTCTTGGACCTCTCTGCTGCCTGTGACACAGTTGACCACCCCCTTTCAAAAAAAAAAAAAAAACTCTATTTACTTTGCCTTCATGACTGTACTCTCCGTTGGTTCGAATCTTACCTATCCCACCACACCTTCAGTGTCACTTACAACTCCTTCCTCCTCTCACTGTCGGGGGTCCCCCAGGGTTCTGTCCTTGGACCTCTCCTATTTTCAATCTACACTTCTTCCCTGGGTTCCCATGGTTTTCAATGCCTTTTCTATGCTGATGACACACAAATCTATTTCTCTACTCCTCAGCTCACCCCATCAATTTCCTCATGTATCACTGATTTACTAACAGACATATCAGCCTGGATGTCACACCACTTCCTAAAACTCAAACTATCCAAAGCTGAGCTCATAATATTTCCTCCACTACGTGCCTCTTCCACTGATTTCTCGGTCAGGATTAATAGCACAATTCTCAACCCATCCCCGCATGCTAGAGTGCTAGGGGTAACCCTGGATTCTGAACTATTCTTTCAAGCGCACATCCAATCCCTGTCAAAATCACGCCACCTCAATCTTCCGTGACATCTCCAGAATACGCCCCTGTTTAACCAATGATACCACAAAGCTTCTAATTCACTCCCTGATTATCTCTCTCTTTGACTACTGCAACTCCCTCCTCATTTGCTTATCTTTACATTGGCTATCCCCCCTCCAGTCCATCATGAGTGCTGCTGCCAGACTTATCCACCTCACTAACCATTCAGTGTCTGCTACCCCTCTCTGCCAATCCTTCCACTGGCTTCCACTCGCCCAACTAATAAAATTCAAAATACTAACAACTTACAAAGCCATCCACAACTCTGCCCCCAGCTACATCACCAACCTAGTCTCAAAATATCAACCACTCTCGTCGATCCTACCAAGACCTTCTGCTCTCTAGTTCCTGTGTCACTTCTTGCTTCTAGGACTTCTACTGAGCTTCTCCCACCCTATGGAACTCCCTACCCCAATCTGTCAGACTATCTTCTAATCTATCCACCTTTAGACGATCCCTGAAAACCCTTCTCTTTAAAGAAGCCTATCCTGTTACTAACTAGTAAACTGCTTTTTATTTCCTCCACCAGCTCATTTCCCACAACTATTACCTTTTGTATCATTCAACCCTTCCTCTTAGAATGTAAGCTCTAACGAGCAGGGCCCTCTGTTTCCTCTTGTACCCAATTGTATTGCGACTGTAATGTCTACCTTCATTTTGTAAAGTGCAGGACAAACTGTTGGCGCTATATAAATCCTGTATAATGATAATAATATAAAATATCAGGGGTCTAAACAGACCCCTGATGTCTCACATTTGAGACTGAGAAAGGGACTGAGGACAGAGATTCATCAGTCCTTTTTTCTGCAGCCTCAGTTGCACTGGACAGGGAATGAATGGGAAGTGTTCTGAGGCTTCCTGTTCATTCACAAACTGAAGCATAGCAAAAAAAAAAAACAGTTTACTATGCTTCTGTGCCAAATGGACATAAGAGCGATAGGTACCAATTGCTCACTGTGTTTATTTAGGAAAGAAAGGGGATGGTAAATATGACATATTTACCAGCGTCTTCCCCCACTCTCCATCCTGAAACATCCCTCTGTGTGCCAGCAGCAGCTGCTGGTGGAAGAGGAGAAGAGAAGAAGCTGGCAGGGCTGCAGAGGGAGGCACAAGAGCATCGGAATCAACAAAAAGGCTGTACAGCTTGCCCTCCTGTTTGACAGGTGCCTTGGCCCCCTTTTGAACTAATGGGGCCCGAGCCTGATACAGCATGAATACAGGAGCTGTGCTGCCTTATCATTGGCCCTGAATGTTCACAAATTAATACGCATTTGTACTGTATATGTGCTTAACTTCCAGTTAACATTCTGTGAAATTACCAAGTTTTGCTACACTTTATAGTGCTTACTATTGTCCGTCAGGAGGAACCAAATTTCTCCAATCTGCTTGTCTGCACTTATCTGTATAACATTTCTATGATATATGTTCCTTGACATATATACTGTTCCTTGAAAAAATAATAAAATAGAGATTAAACATAAATTGAACAAACTGGTTAGGTAAGCACTTGCACTACTTAGTTGTTGGTAAATGTAATGGAGCTTCTACAATGAGATTGACACACATTTGTCTTAGTATAGTATAACTTTGCAATAAAAACTGGAATAAAAAATATTTGCAATATTTTTCTTCTCGATGGAGGCAAAGGCAATGAGAAGAAATTGCCCCAAAAATTTCAGTACTAATGTGATATTTTTTACAGTTTTTGGAGACTGCCTAAGTTGTGTCATTTATCAGTTCCTGAATCATTCCTCTCTCCAGTGTGTGACCTGGAAAATTCCTACCCTTGTTATACTGGAATTCCATCTAGGACATATCTTAAGAGTCTATTGGGCACTCCTTGAATACTTCCTAAGAGCTGAAGTAAAATGAAACAAATATAAGTCATACAATGACATAAAATGTAATTAAAAATACTGTTGAACAAATAAATGAGTTATTAGGGAAGCATTAATCCTACCTGCTCATCGACAAATACACATTTTTGGGAAGTTCATAGATAAGGATTGAAGAGTGTGAAAATGTATCAGAGAAGGAAAAGCAGTAGAAGAGGCGAAACAAAAGTATGATAATATAACACAGAGACTTATTAGTTTTTTTTTGTACCTACCTCCAGTATGTCAATATTTTCTTTAACTTGTATTTTAGCTGTCTGCAGCTGTTCCCTCAGCGTTTGGTAATAGGAGGATGGAACGGACATGAATTCCATTCCTCTTTCTTTTAAGTTGGTGATCTGTAGAAGAGATTTTCATTCTATTGGCCATTGGTCATTACAGTTGTATATAATATGTATGTTTGGGGCACATGTATAGAAGAGCACTTACTGCAGTGATAATGTCAGATGTGTTAAGAGCAATGTGCTGAACTCCAGGACCGCCATAATATTCAACATATTCCTATAGGAGACCAAAAAAATTGTGATTTCATCTTATTGATTGTTCTAACTTGTCTTTTGAGCAGGTTAGCTAAAGTTTGCCATACATGAGCATATTGGACTACCTAACCTTTCTGTCTTCGTTGCAGGTGGTCCAATCCACTACAGAGTCACCCATTTGTGGTGATGACTAAATCTGAAGCAGTGGGCTCCACTTGTTTGCTTTTTTGATATATACCTGGATCTGAGATTTCCTCTTTCCTGACGCAGGCTCATTTATAGGCATCTTAATCGTCTCTTCATAGTTTGCGACCACAATAGAACGAAGTGCACTGAACTCTGTGTGCAGCTGTTTGTCATCCACAGACCAGAAACGATGAAACAACAAAGTTTTTTGGTACCTGCAGGGAAAGATATGGATATTTTCATGGAATCAATTCTTCTCAGCATTTTCGAAATAGGAGGTAAAGATGGCCATTTAAAGTCCAGACCCAAGCACGGTTCTACGACCCAAAGTTGTACTTCAATAGGAATTGGGCTGTCTAGGACAAAGGTCGATAAGGAGCGCTTTCAACATCAGAAGTACCTGTCCCTGTAATGTACATAGTTTAAGGGTTAGAGGAGGTTGTCCTTAAAGCAGAGCTCAACCCAAAAGGGGAAGTTTCGCTTTAAAGACTGGTCCACTGCTCCTCATTAAGGATTGGCACCTTTGGGGAGCGGAGGAAATTGACAGGTACCCGCTCCCATTTCCGCTGTGATTGCCTAGGCGATCGAAAGCAGAAGTTGTTCTCCCTCCCCGTAGTCTTCTGGGACAAGTGGAGGTCCCAAAAGACTACGAGGCCATTCAGAAAGTGCAGCGCTTCTCGCGTATGCTCAGTGGGCACCCAGCTGTAAACCACAAGCTGCCACAGCCGGGCTCCCACACTGAAAATGCCGGTGTCTGGAACACCAGGCTGCTGCTGAAACGGGCTGTGGGGAGGACACCGTGGGATCGTGGGACAGGTGAGTGGCTGTTTTTTAAAAGTCAGCAGCTACAGTTTTTGTAGCTGCTGGCTTTTATTTTTTTACAGTGTGAGTGGAACTCCGCTTTAACCTGGACTTTCACTTTACTTACTGGATTGAATAGTAGTTAATGCTATCTGTGAAGCTCTGCAACTTTGCTAAGCCATACCATTAATTCAAGTTACCTATAATCTGTGCTTTATATAATTATTTGCAGCCTGATTCAGCATTCTTCAATGCTTGTCTGTGGGGGTTCACTTCTAATTACAGTGCTCAGCATAAATGAGTACACTCCAACAGATTTCTCAGAAAACCTTTACTTTCATTTCAGAATCAACATTTTCTAGGGGACACTATACTACAAAATACTCCCACAAATGCGGCCCATTGATTGCAAATAAGATTTGTTAATTTGCACACACAAAAAAGTATTTTTCCTAACAAATTAATTCAAGACCATGTTGCAAAAATGAACACTCCCCAATCAAAGCTAGATTTTAGACAAAAAAAAATGCTAATTAACAAGAATTCAACTACTGGTGAGTCTATTCATTAAACATGTGTCCAGAAGACAGATGTTTTTTAAAGAGCATTACGTAACAAAGAAAATCCCTTCCCATTTCATGCTGTCAGCAATGGCACCATATGACAGAGAAATGTCACAAGGCCTGTGAAAGAAAATAATTTCTTTACACAAGAATGGTGAAGGCTATGAGAAGATAAGCAAAGCTTTACTTATCAGTCAGAATACTGTAGAAAAAGTGATACAAAAATTTAACAAAGATGGAACTGCAACCATCTCACAGAGACGACCAGGCAGTCCATGGAAGTTAACACCTTGACAGGAGCGTCATCTGATGAGAAGGGTTGAACAAAATCTCCATGCAAGTTCACTGCAGTTAGTTAAAGAAGTAGAAAGCCAAACTGGGATGATTGTTTCCAATAACACAATACAGTGTACACTGTAGTGGAATGGCATGCATGGGTCCAGTCCACAAAGGAAGCCTCTCCTAAAGCCCATGCACAAAAAAAGCCTGCCTAGAATTTGCCAGGGCCCATGCTGAAAAAGAAGACGACTACTGGGATTCTACTCTGGAGGGATCAGACCAAGATAAATGTTTTTGGAACTGTAGACTTAAAAACTATATAGCGTCGCAAATGTGAGGCGTACAAATAAAAATGCATAGTGCCTACAGTGAAACATGGTGGTAGTGTGCTTCTGTGGGGCTGCATGAGTGCTGCTGGTGTAGGGAGCTGCATTTCATTGATGGTATCATGAATTCACAGATGTACTGCTCTATATTGAAAGAGAAGATGCTACCATCATTCCATGCCCTTGGTCATAGTGTACTTTTCCAGTATGACAATGATCCAAAGTACACATCTGAGGAAACTGTTTCATGTGTGAGGAAGAACAGGAAGAAAGTGATTCAGTGGCCAAGTATGTCTCCTGATCTGAATCCAATCGAACACCTATGGGGAATTCTGAAGAGCCAAGTTGAGCATCACTCTCCATCCAGCATCCAGGCTCTAAAAGAGGTCAGTCTTGAAGAATGGAAAAAGATGTTGCAATATATCACCAACTTGTTCATTCCATGCCTAGAAGACTTCATGCTGTCCTTACAAACCATGGAGGTCATACAAAATACCAGATGTAGTAGTTTTTGTTGGAGCAAAACTGAAGATTTTGTAATTTAAGTTATATTATGAACCTTACTTTCATGTAATGAGCTAAACAAATGTTCTATAAAACTCAGTTTTGTCAAATATTTGGAAAATTGTTCTTGTGTTCATTGAGATATTGATTAAAATCTTACTTTTCAAAAGGAGTGTACTTATTTATGCTGAGCACTGTACATGCTTGTGTACTATGCAAGCTCCTTAGGGGAATGGGATGTAGGGGTGCAGTAAACAAATGTCAGGGGGACAGTGTACAGGGAGCAGCAGGGCAGAGGATGAGAGATCAGCAGGGGAGAGTACAAGAGTTAGTAGGGCAGAGGATGGGAGGTCAGCAGGGGAGTGTACAAGAGTTAGTGGGACAGAGGAATAGGGGTCAGCAAGGCAAAGGACAGGGTTCAGCAGGGTGAAGGAGAAGCGTTATCAGGGCAGAAGACAGGGGGCACCAGGGCAGGGTACAGGGGGTTAGTCTAAAGAACAGTGGTCAGCAGAGAAGAGGATAGGATCACTGCTGGCAGGAGTTCCTCCTTCCATTCCTGCACTGCACACAGCCTGGGCACTCAAAAGATTGCTTCCTCTCCACACAGCTCATAGCTGAGATTGGATTCCCTTACAGACACAGCCTTGATCCAGCCCAGTGTGTAGCTGTCTACTGCAGCTGCCATTCTAATCTGGGAGTTTCACAGGTCAGAACTGTGACATAGCAGGCTGGTACACACTGTGCAGATTGAGGCTGTATTTGCAAAGGAATCCAATCTTAGCTACACTATATTGCCAAATGTAATGGGACACCCCTCCAAATCATTGGATTCAGGTGTTCCAATCACCTCCATGGCCACAGGTGTATAAAATCAAGCACCTAGGCATGTAGACTGCTTCTACAAACATTTGTGAAAGAATGGGTCGCTCTCTGTGAATTCAAGCGAGGTACCGTGATAGGTTGCCACCTGTGCAATAAGTCCATCCGTGAAACTTCCTTGCTACCAAATATTCCACGATCAACTGTTAGTGGTATTATAACAATGTGGAAGCAACTGGGAACAACAGCAACTCAGCCACTAAGTGGTAGGCCACGTAAAATGAGATAGCGGGGTCAGTGCATGAAGCACACAGTGCACAGAAGTTGCCAACTGTCTGCAGAGTCACAGCTAAATACCTCCAAACTTTGTGTGGCCTTCAGATTTAGCACAACAGTGCATAGAGAGCTTCATGGAATGGGTTTCCATGGCCGAGCAGCTGCATCCAAGCCTTAAATCACCAAGTGCAATGCAAAGTGTTGGATGCAGTGGTGTAAAGCACGCCAGCACTGGACTCTAGAGCAGTAGAGGCGTGTTATCTGGAGTGGCAAATCACTCTTGCCTGACTGCATTGTGCCAAGTGTAAAGTTTAGTGTTTTTTTGGGGTTGGACTTGGCCCCTTAGTTCCAGTGAAGAGAACTCATGGATGAGCGCGTTTGGGGTGGAGGAACTTGACTGGCCTGCACAGAGTCCTGACCTCAACCCAATAGAACACCTTTGGGATGAATTAGAGTGGAGACTACGAGCCAGGCCTTCTTGTCCGACATCAGTGCCTGACAATATAGTGTATGTGCTATGTGAGAAGATCTGTGGAGTGCCCTGGGTGTAGTGTGGGGAGTGCCCACCCAAGGAAAAGATGACAAACTGCGACCCAACCCCCGATGTGTGAGCATCATGTCACAGCATAAGTCCCTCCCCCTAAAAAAAAAAAACAAAACAAAAAAATCTGCACTGATCAGCACCCTCAACCCCCAAGCATAAATTTTCTACTGTAAGGCAAAATTCTCCCCAAACAAAAAATGCAAAAATTCCCCTCCTCCCAGTCCAAATCCCCCCCTCTCAGCACAAATGCTTGCCCCCTAATCCCCCACCCTAGCTCTGCCATTGTAATTTCTCCTAACAGATCTTTCACTTTGGTAATTCACTCCGCTGTCTACTCCCATTTGTGCCAGCCAGGAGTGCATGGATGGGGAGCCCAGTGTATTGGTTACTGTCCATGGGGGGCACAACTAAATTCGCAGCATACCCCAGCACTTCCCTAGATCTGGCTATGCTGCTTCACCATCATTTCCCTCTGATTAAACTAGATTAAAGTAGAGTCATCACAGAAAACCTGGGACTTGCTACAATGGTTTCCCCCAGCCCTGTGCACTTCTATTTAAAAATCTAATCAAGAGCACCAGAAGTTAAAGAGAATATATTGGGATTCTTGAACTTAGTCATAAAAATATAAAATAAGGTTCATAAGTGGTGTGGTTAACAATTTTACTTTGCAAGTTAATGGGTTCAGTTCCCACCTGGGACAATCTTAGCATAGAGTATGCATGTTGTACCTGTAATTACATAGGAACCCTATCATAAAACCAAAACCATACTGGTAAATTACTTGGATTCCACCCAAAACTGACTCCTGTGTTTGTGTCTATATAAACATGGAAGAGACAGGGGCAGGAGTATACTCTCTAAACTGCAGCCCGCAGCCCAGATGTGGCCCTTTGCTTGTCTTTATCCATCCTGCAAGGCACTATTCTTCCCACTGATATGAGCCACTATGCCTCCCACTGACACCAAGGATAAGACACAATTAGTTCCACTGACACCAACAATGGGGGACTATTCTACCCAAGGACATCAACAATGGGGCACTGTTCCTTCCACTGACACCAACAATGGGGCATAATTCCTCTTATGGATATAAATGACTGAACACTATTCCGCCCACTGTCACCAATTCTATTATTATCTACTATTCCTCCCACTAATACTAGCAATTGGGCACTATTCCTCAAAATGACACCAACGATGGGGCACTATTTCTGCGGCGATGGGACACTATTCCTACTGCTAAAACCAATGATGCACCACTATTCCTCTCACTGACACCAAAGGGGCACTATTCCTTCCACTGACATCAAAGAAGGGGAGCTATTCCTCCTACTAATATCAGTGATGGGGCACTGTTCCTCCTCTTACTGATCACAGACACTATAGGGGAGATTTACTAAAACTGGAGCACACAGAATCTGGTGCAGCTGTGCATGGTATCCAATCGGCTTCTAACTTCAGCTTCTTCAATTGTGCTTTAACAATAAAACCTGGAAGCCAATTTGTTTCTATGCAGAGTCATTTACTGCTCGCACTAAGCACAGTCAAGCCCCCAAAATACTAAAAGGATAGTAAACTAGCCCTTTATTTAGAAAGTTTGGATACCCCTACTCCAAAGCACTGGTTTTGTCATCAAAATATCAATTAATAAAATAAATGAATATATGTATGAAATCTGCCCTCTAGTGGCCACATACTGCTATATGAAACATTTCAGAAATAAAACAAAATATTAAAAATGTCCACAAATACTTCACATGAAGGCTGCATTCAAATCACACACAAATACTAATGTATCACCATTGTTCAAGTGAACTGCAACAAAACTGATTGGTTTCAACAGGATATTTACCAATCTGCAACTGGAACCATTTCATCATCTGGTTGATTTCCCACAACATGGTCAATAAAATGAAGTTTGCAACTTGGCCTATAAAATTAAAAAAGAGCATCAACATGTATCAAGGTACAAATGACCCATATAAAAAGTATCAACATAGACTGAGTTAAAAATAATGTATATAATTCAATTTGCCCTTGCATTCCTACTTCAGATACTTTCAGGTCTCCCATGCCTTTAGTGGTATGTTCCCTGTTTGACTACTTTCCCTTTCCTATTCTGAGTTGGAGTCTGTCCTTCATGTAACACGCATGCAAAAACCCTTTCGGTACTATACAGATATCCTCTTGTGGCTATCAATATTGGTGTGAACCAGGGGCGGACTGACAACTCATAGGGCCCCGGGCAATAGGGGATCATGGGGCCCCTGTGTCCTTGCCCAAACTCAAAAAAAGCCTATGAAAAAGGTACCAGGGGCATCTCATGGGGCCCCCTACTGACCCTGGGCCCTCGGGCAGTGCCCGAGTTTCCAAATGGTCAGTCCGCCCTGGTGTGAACCTCCTGCACTACTATACTAAGTAAAAAACTAAACTAAAAAGAGAAGCTGCCAACATTAAATCATATACCCATGATCTGAACTAAATCGATATCTAAAAAGAATGTGGCGCTACTCATAAATCCCAAAAACATACAAGTGAATAATTGATAACCTAAAGTGCCACACTAGAATAACCTCTATATTAAATAAATAAACATAAAATCATGCCATGTGACACGTGAATCAATGTAATAAATCTGCTGTGAAAGTGAAAAATAATCAAGTGGTCATAGTGATACTACAATACCTCTATACATATAACATAAAGGAATGTACATAGAACCAGTGTATTAAAATGAAAACCAATCATATATTAGTATCTAAGTAATACCAAATCAAATACAGGATAATATGCCAAAAAATAAAAAATATATATAAATCTCAATTATATGAACCCATATAGGTGCAATATAAATATAAACAAATAAATAAATAGATGAAACATATGTGATAACACGTGCAAGTACAGTGCAAGTACCACACTGATTCAATCAAACTATCAAAGTTTGATCTGTGCTCAAAAAAGTCCAATAAGTGGGTGACACCACTACTGCAACTCCAACACACGTGCCAATAAAGTGAAGTAACTCCTGGTGATCAAACCCTCAGATCCTTCCAGCACACACTGGTCTCCACTGGTCCGCTCTCCCCGCACACAGATCTCCCTCTCAGGGGGTCAGCATTCAAGCAGTGGCTCCTCTTATGGAGTATGGGTATGTGCCAGTAAAAACAAACACAATCTCCTATAGTGTAGTAGGTTTATTTCATGAAGATCCAAAAAATACATAAAAAGTTACTCACATCCGTCCTCTGTTACTAGCAACTTCAAAACCCCATGCTTTGGGTGTACTCTGCATGGGTATAGAGAAATCAAGGGTGCACCAAGATGGCCACCACGCTAATCTAGCCGTTGGTTGGATTTTCTGCACCAGGAGTTACTTCACTTTATTGGCACGTGTGTTGGAGTTGCAGTAGTGGTGTCACCCACTTATTGGACTTTTTTGAGCACAGATCAAACTTTGATAGTTTGATCGAATCAGTTTGGTACTTGCACTGTACTTGCACGTGTTATCACATATGTTTCATCTATTTATTTATTTGTTTATATTTATATTGCACCTATGTGATGTTCATATAATTGAGATTTATATATATTTTTTGGCATATTATCCTGTATTTGATTTGGTATTACTTAGATACTAATATATGATTGGTTTTCATTTTAATACACTGGTTCTATGTACATTCCTTTATGTTATATGTATAGAGGTATTGTAGTATCACTATGACCACTTGATTATTTTTCACTTTCACAGCAGATTTATTACATTGATTCACGTGTCACATTGCATGATTTTATGTTTATTTATTTAATATAGAGGTTATTCTAGTGTGGCACTTTAGGTTATCAATTATTCACTTGTATGTTTTGGGGATTTATGAGTAGCGCCACATTCTTTTTAGATATCCTCTTGTGGCGGCCAGCCCTGAATTGGTATCTTTACATTTGAAGTGGAGGACGAATATTCTTAATTTAGATGATGAAGATCGGTCCGAGGTTTGGGATTATCCCTTTTCTCCACTAGTTTCTGCCAGAGAAAAATTAATTCAATTTAAAATTTTACCCTGGGCTTTATAAAATTTGGTCATGCTTGCTTGATGATGTATCTACTGTCACCGCGGCAGCTGATGTGGGGAATTGATTGAATGATTGATTGATTGATTGATTGATAGTCACCCAGGTGCTTTGTCTTTTCTGTTATGAGCTGGGTTCCCTTCTATATGCTATGGTCCTGTTATATTGTCTATACATGATTAGGCCTTGACTAGTATGTGTGGTCCCTAATTTCCCCCTCTCCCCCCTCCTCCCTTTTTTTTGTTTCTCTCCGTAGGGTTGTTTTGCACTGTTGTTGTTTTATGTACACTTTGTTGGGCTTCTGTGTGGGCGTCTGTTGTCTGTATGGTTTTTATATGTTTAAAATAAAAAAAAGATTTAAAAAAAAAAAAATGCATATATAGAGGGGAAGTATAGCTATTGCTTAAATGTCCTATCCACCCATAAACTGATAGTAGAATGACCCAATGGCTTCTTATACTTCTTGGTGTCATGCTCTCACTGCTAACCTTAACAATGTAAAATAAATGAGAAATGGAAACTCATTAGTGAGCAGGGAAGAGCAGACCGTGGGATGGATGTACCACCCAGTGGGGTGGATTTAACGAAACCAAATAGACTCTGCATGTGCAGTTGCGCTCATTTTCGAAAGAGCTTAGTAATTGTGGTAAAGCTCTGCTGATGTCCATCATTCAATCATGTGCAAGCAAAAATGTTTTTTGCTTGCACCTGATTGAGTATTCTTTACAAAGGAAGCTTTACCACATTTACATTTACTAAGGGAAATGAGAGCAACTGCACTTGCACAGTCTATTTGCCTTTAGTAAAATAACCGCATTGCATAGTTTTTTTGAAGAAGCTGTTAGTTTTACTAGTCAACATTCATAGAATTTGGTCAATGATTCCCTATCAGAGCAGCCTGGCTTACAGGGATATTAGGTCCCTCTATGGTGCATGCAGCCACATGTACTGTACAGGGCGGACTGACCATTTAGGCACTCAGGCACTGCCCGAGGGCCCGGGGTCAGTAGGGGCCCCATGAGATGCCCCTGGTACCTTTCATATGGTTTTTTGGGTGTGGTTTGAGTGTGGGAGAGGACACAGGGGCCCCATGATTTCCTATTGCCCGGAGTCCCCATGAGTTGTCAGTCCGCCCCTGGTGCTGTACTGACAGTTTGAGTTTCAGTAAGTATCAATGCCCAAAGGTTTCAGTTATGGGTTTCTCCTTGTTAATTGTTTCCACTTATCTCTTGCATCCCATTACTATTACACATGCAAACAAAAGTGTAACGCCCAGTACACGTGATGAGAAAATTGTGCGACAAATACTGCTTTCTGAGCTTTCACCTGATAACCTGATCATTAGTACACAGCTTCCGAGAGCCGATCACGACAGTTCATGCTAAATTATCTGAAGGGGCAAGCACAAACATTTTTCTTGTACTATAAGAGAACAAGTTATATTCGTTTAATCAGTACAGTATTCATCTGTATAAAATCAAGTGACCAAGACCTCACATGCTCAAAAAAGAAAGAATACAATACAATTCAATACATCAACGTGGGAGTTGTATTCTGTCTTACGAGAATTTTCATAACTTTAGTTACCTATTTGTTTTGGATATGAGACTAGCATGTAAAAAAAAAAATAGACGATCATTCATCCGAAATTCCCATCATGTGTACCAGGCTTTGTTTTGCAGCATTCTAGCAGATAGCTACACCCAATGTGTTGTAATCACAATGCTTTCTTCATGCAAAAGCTCTACTTTTTGCATCTACATTACTCTTACATCCACAGTGCTACTTACAGTTTGAGCAGCAGAGGATCAAGGAAGAGAGGAGGATGAAATCCAGGTAAGAAGATGCCTTTATAGTCAAGGTTCTCTACTAGTGTGTGTGTTGTGTCTCCATACTGGATGAAGAGAGAAGAAATCACACATCATAACTGATAATGCATTTCTTTGCCACCGATTTGTGATAAACAGACACAATATTGTTACAGGAACAATTTCATTTAGAAGCGGCCCATTCATGATTTTGGATATTTTGATATCAACACTGACAGGCACGCCAGTCATACTGCAGCAGGAACCTGCATATTGTGTATGAGAAGATGAAAGCAACCTATTACTGCAAAAAAGCACAAACAAATTTAAAAATGACATGACTGAGCACACAGGGCTACAGAACACCTCCCCTCATTTCAACATAGGGAAGCAGTGTTCAATAATTCACAGTAAGAGCTCAGGTAGGGCTAAAACTGTTTAAAGATTAAGGTAACAACTCATTGAGTTTTAGGTCAGATCCACAGGTATTTTTTTTGCATATATAAACAGACATACAAAAACACCTTCAACAGTATATTTGACAGGTCAAGAAAGTCAATCATCGGGACTGACATATACTTAAAAAAATGTAGCACTGGCTCTTATATATTACTCATCTGGTAGACATCTGCACGCCGTAAATGTTTGTATTGTTTCATTGTGTATGCATTCGTTAATTGAAGAATTTAGTTTTGTCATATTCATCATGCTGAAGCTATTCATTATTGGAATTCATTTCATTATATTCGGCATTCGTTTCGTAAAATTGTTGGTCTGGGTGTATTCAAAAAATGTTGCCATTTTTTTCTGGAAGATCCCTATATATTCGTTTTCGGTATATCGGAACCACTCGATATATTCAAAAGGATTTGACATTTCGCAACAGAATAAATAATGCAAAATTTGGCGGCCCCAAATTTTTCAAACCTATGAATTGCATTAGACTGTGGAACTGAACTGACTGGCTGTAACAATTACAAATTCAATTTACATCTCAAATTTACTTTATTGCACAAGCATTAAACCCTATCAGGCACTCCACAGGCAGTACAACCAGATTTCAAAATTCAGATCCATTCGTTATCCAAATTATCAAACAAATTTGAAAATTTAATTTATTTCCCAGTGGGAGTGAACTACTATCGCATCAAGTGACGTCATCCAAATGAAACAAATACATTTTTTAATTTTGTTATGTTTTTTTTGGATTTGTTGACATTCCATACTTTGTCTATTTGGAGATTTGTATACATCCGAATCTCTACAAATCAAGTTTTCATCCACAAATTGATTAGTTATGAAATGAAACACATTTAGTAGAAATTGTCCTACAAAGTTTCAGAAAACGTTCTCTCCTTACTATTGCGTAGACATTCTGGATCATCCATACCTGACAGTTCAAAGAAAATCTGAATCAGGCTATCCTGGTGGGTTGGAACAGTGGAGAAGATGCTTAGAAAATACACTTAACTGAGATCAGCTTGTCATTGGGAGTATAAAATGGAAGCAGTGGGGGATGCCCACCCTGGCAACTTCAGGAATAGGTCTATAACTTTAACCACTTGCCCTCCAGAGCATTTACCCCCCTTAATGACCAGGCCTCTTTTTGCTATTCGGCGCTGCACTATTTCAACTGATAATTGCACGTTCATGCAATACTGCACCCAAACTAACTTTAAGCCCTTTTTTTCACACAAATAAAGTTTTCTTTTGGTGGTATTTGATCACCTGTGCGCTTTTTATTTTTCACGCTATAAGGAAAAAAAGACCGAAAATTTTGAAGAAAAACGATATTTTTTACTTTTGGCAATAAAAAATATATTGTAAACTCAAAGTTAGTTATAAATTTAGGCCAAAGTTTATTCTGCTACATGTTTTTGGTAAAAAAAATCCCAGTAAGTGTATATTGATTGCTTTGTGTGAAAGTTATAGCGTCTACAAACTATGGTATAGATACTGCAATTTACGCCATTTTTTTTGCTATACAACGCTGCACTAGTTTAACTGACAATTGCACGGTCATGCAATACGGTACATAAATAAAATTTATGTCCTTTTTTCACACAAATAGAGCTTTCTTTCAGTGGTCGTTGATCACCTGTGTGCTTTTTATTTTTGGTGCTATAAACAAAATATTTTTGAGAAAAAAAAATTTTAAAAAAACATCAATATTTTCTCAATTCTGTCATAAAAAATATCCCAAGAAATTTAAATTTTGTCATAAATTTAGGCCAAATTGTGTTCTGCTACATGTTTTTTGGTAAAAAAATCCCAATAAGTGTATATTTATTGCTTTGTGTGAAAGTTATAGCATCTACAAACTATGGTATAGCTAATGGAATTTACACAGCTTTTACTTTCTGACTGCCTATCACATTTCTTGAGGTGCTAAAATACCAGGACAGTACAAACACCCCCAAATGACCCCTTTTCGGAAAGTAGACACCCTTAGCTATCTGCTGAGAGGCATATTGAGTCCATGGAAGATTTATTTTTTTCCACAAGTTTTTGGAAAATGATAAAAAACTTACACAAAGTTGTCATTTAAATTATATATTTCTCACACAAGCCATGGGTATATGTGGAATTACACCCCAAAACACATTCTGCTACTTCTACCGTGTATGGGGATACCACATGTGTGAGACTTTTGGAACCTGATATGCAATACAGGAGCCTGAAATCCAATGACCACTTTGAAAGCCTGAAGGTGCGTAACTTCATTATTTAATTTCCTCACTACCTATCACAGTTATAGGCCAGGATAGCACCAAGCCCCCCAAATGACCCCTTTTTCAAAAGTAGACACCCCAAGGAATTTAAAAAGAGGCATGGTGATTATTTTTCATATCTAATTTTTTTTCTCACAAGCTTCTGAAATATAAAAAAAGAAAAAAAATATGTTTTTGCTTTCTTTCTTCATTTTCCAAAAACTTGTGGCAACAGACGAGATCTGCAAATTCCTTGGGGTGTCTACTTTCCAAAAACGGGTCATTTAGAGGAGTTTGGTGCTATCCTGGCATTTCAGGGCCTCCGAAGATGTGATAGGTAGTCAGGAAGTGTAATGAGGAAATAAAGCCCTTTAAAAGCCCGAAGGTGTATATTGGATTTTGGGGTCCTGTACTTGGTTAGACTGACAAAAAGTCTATGTGGTACCCCCATACTCGGGAGAAGTAGCAGAATGTATTTTTTGGTGTGATTCCACATATATCCATGGCATGTGTGAGCAAAAATTCATTTAAGTGACAATTTCGTGTAAAAAATAAATCATTTAAGTGACAATTTTGTGTAAAACAAATTATATATACATTTTTTTTGTCATTTTCCAAAAACTTTTGGTAATAAAATAAATTCTTCTATTGACTCAACATGCCTCTCAGCAAATAGTTAGGGGTGTCTACTTTCCAAAAAGGGATCGTTTTGGGGGGTGGGTGCATTTTATGACCAGCGTTAGAAGTTTAGTCCACACATCACTCACCCTTCTAACCACCTGAAGATCAAGCCTTTTCTGCCACTTTTTGTTCACAAGAAAAAAAATCTGTATTTTTTGCTAGGAAATTACTTTGAATCCCAAAACATTATATATTTTTAAAACAGACACCCTAGTGAATAAAATGGTGGATGCTGCAATTTTGTATGTCACATAGTACTCACGCAGCAATTTTTCAAACACAATTTTTTTGAAAAAAGATACACTTTTTTTACTTTTAATGCACAAAAACACAACATATTGGCCAATTATTTGGTAAAATATAAAAGATGATGGTATGCCGAGTAAATAGATAGCAAACATGACATGCTTTAAAACTGCGCATACCCCGTGGGCGACAAACTGCATACATTTTTAATATCCATAGGCAACACTTTAAAAAGCCTTTACAAACTACCATTTTACATTTACAGAGGAGGTCTAGTGCTAAAATTACTGCCCTTGATCTGACGTTCACGGCGATACCTCACATGCTCGGTGGAACACTGTCCCTTTCATTTTTTTTTTTTTTTGTATTCACTTTAAATGCTATCACAGGGAATGCAAATATCCCCTATAACTTCAATGGGCATTGTCATATATTATTTTTTCAGAAATCTGGGGTCTATCAGACTCTAGATCTCTCCTCTGCCCTTACATTATCTAATCTCACCAAGATTGGTGTGATCAAATGCTTTCCCAATTTACAAATGGCGCTGTTTATATCCTGTGAAACTGAAGTGATGAAATGCTCGTAGCTTTCGATTTCTTAGACTATAGAGATGATTGGCACCAACCGAGCCCTAATCAGCTCTATGGGCTTCTCTATGTTGATGACACACAAATCTATCTTTCTACCCCTCACCCCTTCAGTCTAATCTAGCATTACTAACCTACTAAGCAACATATCGGCATGGATGTCACTCCACTTCCTCAAACTCAATCTTGGCAAAACTGAGCTTTTAGTATTCCCCCCCAGCTCATGCCCCCTCCCCTGACTTCTCCATCAAGATCAATAACTGTCAGGGCAGGAGCGCTGGAATGGGCAGGCAGGCCTATGCACGGTCATGCCGCGACTGATGACAGCCACTACCCACAGACCAGAATCCCTCAGGGCGCGGAGTCTAAGCCCCAGGCTACCCTTCACCAGGGCCCCTGATGGTGGGGATGGACTTGACACAGCCTGAGACTAGGTCGCGGCCCCCCGAGTGACCCCAGCTGCGGTGACGACTGCCACCAATGGCGTACAGCTCGTGGGAGCTAGATGGGAAAACGAGTAGAGTAGTCAGACAGGCCGGGTCAATAACAACAGAGCAGACAGTACTAGACGGTAGGCAAAGAATACTCAGGTCACGGGCCGGGTTCAGCAACGGGAGGTCAGGTAAAGGGTTAACGCAAAGAATAGTCTTGTCCAAGCTGAGTCGGTTACCAGGAGAGCAACAGGAACAACACAAGAGCTTGCAACAAGGAAACATACAGGACACGAGTGCAGCGAGCACTTGCAGACAGGAGGTTTAAATGTGCTCAACCACACCCTTCTGAGGAGGAGCCGCAGAAGCCTGAAGGCATAAAGGTTCCCACCATGCTTGCAGAAATCCAAGATGGATGCCAGCATGGAGATGCACAAGCTCTGAAGAAAGGCAGGACCTTGACAATAACACAATCATCAGTCCCTCCCCTCATGCCAGGGTACTAGGTGTACTCCTAGACTCCCATATGTCCTTTCACCCCCCCATCCAATCACTGTCCAAATCTTGTAGACTTCATCTACACAACATCTCCAACCTCGGAAACCACCAAGCAACTTATTCACTCCCTTGTTATATCTCGCCTTGACTATTGCCGAGTTTGGGCAAGGACACAGGGGCCCATGATCCCTTATTGCCCTGGGGCCCCATGAGTTGTCAGTCCGCCCCTGCTCCCTCCTCATTGGCCTACCTCATCGCAGGCTATCCCTTCTTCAGTCTTTCATGAATGCTGCTGCCAGACTCATCCACCTTACTAACCGTTCTGTATCTGCCACCCCTCTCTGCCAATCCCTCCACTGGCTTCCCATTGCCCAACGGATAAAATTAAAACATTAACAATAACGTATAAAGCCATTTATAAGTCTGCCCCAAATTACATCACCGATCTTGTCTCTAAATATCACCCAAACTGTACTCTCCGCTCCTCGCAAGACCTCCTGCTCTCTAGCTCCCTTGTCTCCTCCTCCCATGCTCGTCTCCAGGACTTTTCCAGAGCTTCCCCCATCCTCTGGAACTCTCTATCCCAATTTATCAGACTATCGCCTACTCTGCTCACTTTCAGGCGATCTCTGAAAACCTATATCTTCAGGGAAGCCTATCCTGCCCTCAGCTAATAATGGAATCTTCTACTCTTCCAACCAGTCCATCCCCCACAGTTACTACCTTTTGTACCACTAGCCCCTCCCTCCTAGATTGTAAGCTCCAAGGAGCAGGGCCCTCCTTTCCCTCTTGTATTGAACTGTATTGTTGCTGTATTGTCTCCCGTTATATTGTAAAGCGCTGAGCAAACTGTTGGTGCTATATAAATCCTGTATAATAATAATAATAATGGTCAGCTGGCAGAAACACCAGCTGCATTCTCAGGTTCCCCTGATGGCACGGGACTGCCCAGGAAGGCTGTTTAAGGCAGCGGAGGAGGGGGGGGGGGCATCAAATCCAACTGCTTGTAAAAGAAATTCTGCAGTGAATTAGCCACTAAGATTACTTTTACATGAAAGCGGATGGCCGGCTGAAAAAAAAACGATACCAGGATAATGCCTGCAAATGTAGGCATCATCCTGGTATAGCCATTCAAAGTCCAAAGATGTACCAGTACGTCGCTGGTCCTTGTTGGATATATATGCTATTTTCTTTTTTTTGTATGCAGCCTGTGGGCTAAATGAAAAAAAGAGAAGAAATCTCTGCCAGAAAAAGTGTGTGATATGCCCACCATTAGAATATACCGCCCTGCATCCACCCACTTCTAATATTGGGCACACATTAGGTCTCACGGTGCCAAACGCGCCAATTCCAAGATTGTACAAATGTCTAAATAGTGGCACGCTTGAATAAAAATTGTCCACGTACAAATGGTACCCCATATGGAACAAGGATGACACCAAGTCCAAAACTATCTTTCCACTACTCCCCATGTAGTCTGGGCATCTGGGGGGGCTCCACGTGACTATCTTTTCCCTTGTAAATCCGAAAATTATATGTATAGCCTCTTGCCCTCTCACAGGTCTTATACATTTTGACCCCATATCTGGCATGCTTGCTGGGGAGAAATTGTTTGAATGCAAGGCGGAGAAAAAAAGTTAATGAGGGACTCATCAACACAAATTTTTTGCTGGGGAGTATAGACATCTGCAAATTTTTGGTTAAGGTGATTTACGAACGCCCGAATTTTGTGGACACGGTCAAATTCAGGGTCACCCCAAGGACGACAGAGTGTATTGTCATTGAAATGCATAAAACACATTATACTCTCTTGTCTATACCTGGCAATGGCAGCAGAAAACACGGGATATGATGAATCGGGTCTGTGGATCAGTACAACCGCAATTAATTTTTTTATAGTAATGCCCATGTTGAGGGTTAGACCGGAAAAAAATTTAAATTCGGAAACCGTAATGGGTTTTCATGCGAATGATCTGGCAATGTTTGAATTTGGGTTGTCGGTGATAAATTGTTGTGCATATAAATTGCTTTGATCCACAATCAATGCATACAGATTTTCCGTAAAAAAAACAGCTCCAAAAAATCAAGGGGAGTAGTTAACATTTTCTGTTTCCACCTGAATTCGGGTTGGGCAATGAATGGGGGAAGTACGGGTGCTGCAGAATTTGTGGGCTGCCAATCGGGATTTGCAAGCACATCCTGAAGGATACTAGAGACTTTACAGGCCTGTGTGCGAATTCTTGGTGGTTGTGGGACAATACTTGTGCTTGCCACCGCACCAGCTTGTACTGCACTTATGGGACTCGCCACATCACCAAATGATACTGCAGTGCTGGTATATTGGTGTCACTGGGGATTTCAGTGACAACAAGTCAGTTTCCCCCAGTGTCAGAATGCCCGCTGCAGTCCCGCTATAAGTCGCTGATCGCCGCCATTATTAGTATAAAAAAACAATTCCAGTATCTACAGTACAGTGTGACCATGGTGAAGGAATGTAACCACCTAATAGGAAGTTGGATCACAGCAGCAACAAAAAAAAAAAAAAAAAAAGGAGAATTTGGAGGTTTTTGGGGAGGCTGAGGGCAATAGAAGGAATAGAAGGAACTTTTTTTTTAATTAAGAAGACATACTTGAAAAGATTTTTTTAACCAGAGTCTAGTGTCACTTTAACCTCAGAATTAGCTCTGTGCACAGTTCTGATTCATATTTATTAGTAAAACATGCAAAATGAAGTAAATAGATATATTGCGATTACTTGGGTTATCTGAGACGCATTCATTACACTGTTTACTTTTAAGAATCAGTAACAAAAAATATGTGTAATACCGTCTGAATGACAGCAAATTTCACTCTTCCATACTTGTCTTCCTCAACCCACGGCTCCTTTACTATCACGGCTCCCCTTTCTCTGGCTTTCTGTTAAAAATTAAGATGGTTCAGTTAACCCCATCACACATGATGATGAGACATTCAAAAAACTCCAGAAAACTGGTGACAGTGACATTCCACAAAAGTGCCTCTCATGCCCTTGTGTTTTTTTTCAGGCTTGCAAACAACCTACATTCTTCTTAAAACTCAACTCCAGGCACAACTGTCTAGCGCAGAGCCCCACAAAATACACTGTATTGCCAAAAGTATTGGGACACCCCTCCAAATCATTGGATTCAGGTGTTTCAATCACCTTCATGCCCACAGGTGTATAAAATCAAGCACCTAGGCATGCAGACTGCTTCTACAAACATTTGTGAAAGAATGGGTCCCTTTCAGGAGCTCAGTGAATTCAAGTGTGGTACCATCATAGGTTGTTGCCTGTGCAATAAGTTGATCTGTGACATTTCCTTGCTACTAAATATTCCACGGTCAACTGTTGGTGGTATTATAACAAAGTGGAAGCAACTGGGAACAACAGCAACTCAGCCACCAAGTGGTAGGCCACGTAAAATGACAGAGCGGGGGTCAGTGCATGCTGAACCGCACAGTGCTTAGAAGTCGCCAACTGTCTGCAGAGTCAATAGCTAAAAACCTCCAAACTTCATGTGACCTTCAGATTAGCACAACAACAGTGCATAGAGAGCTTCATGGAATGGGTTTCCATAGCCGAGCAACTGCATCCAAGCCTTACATCACCAAGTGCAATGCAAAGCGTCGGATACAGTGGTGTAAAGCACGCCACCACTGGACTCTAGAGCAATGGAGACGTGTTCTCTGTCTGGCAATCTGATGGACGTGTCTGGGTTTGGCGGTTGCCAGGAAAATGGTACTTGCCTGACTGCATTGTGCCAAGTGTAAAGTTTGGTGGAGAGGGATTATGGTGTGGGGTTGTTTTTCAGGGGTTGGGCTTGGCTCCTTAGTTCCAGTAAAGGTAACTCTGAAGGCATCAACATACCAAGACATTTTGGGCAATTTCATGCTTCCAACTTTGTGGGAACAGTTTGGGGATGGTCCCTTCCTGTTCCAACATGACTGTCCACCAGTGCACAAAGCAAGGTACATAAAGACATGGATGAGCAAGTTTGGGGTGGAGGAACTTGACTGGCCTGCACAGAGTCCTGACCTCAACCGTATAGAACACCTTTGGGCTGAATTAGGTGGAGACTGCGAGCCAGGCCTTCTCATCCGACATCAGTGCCTGACCTCACAAATGACCTTCTGGAAGAATGGTCAAACATTCCCATAGACACACTTCCAGGGGCGGACTGACAACTCATGGGACCCCTGGGCAATAGGGGATCATGGGGCCCCTGTGTCCTTGCTCAAACTCAAAAAAAGACTATGAAAAAGGTACCAGGAGCATCTCATGGGGCCCCCTACTGACCCCGGGCCCTCGGGCAGTGCCCGAGTTTCCACATTTTCAGTCCACCCCTGCACACTCCTAAACCTTGTGGCAGCCTTCCCAGAAGACCTGAAGCTGTTATAGCTGCAAAGGGTGGGACAACTCAATATTCTACCCTACGAACTAAGACTGGGATGCCATTAGTTCATGTGCATGTAAAGGAAGGAGTCCCAATACTTTTGGCAATATAGTGTACATATGGAATATATTCTAGTAGCAAGTGTGGGAGGAGACACTCTGAGTTGTCATGTCCCCTTTTCCAATGCACTGCAATGCATATGCACTTCCTGCCCAGATAAGTATTTCACTTTCTCCTTCTCTGCAGTTTTTGCACACTGCAAGAACTGCTCTTCAGTGATCACGACAGATATTTTCATCATCCCTGATAATATCACCCTTGTAATGCAGTCTCACAGGTGTGAGTGGTTACTGTTGTATCCTGTTGTATGTGTATCTTCTACAGAATCATTTTGTAGCTTTGTGTAGTGCAAAATAACTACCAAGTAAATATACACTTTTGTCACCTGAACAAGAAAGTCACAATCTTCAACTTCAAATGATACATCTTTCACGCCATCACCGTGCTTTTGCAAATGTTCTCCAAACTCTATAGTAATAAAAAAAATAATGCTGACTAATTAGTAGGTAGGATCATGAATACTTCTATCACTTCTAGAAATACAGTACATACTGAAAAGAATATGGATAGATCTAAGCATTATGCTGGTCCTGCAGTTAAAACCTAAGTTGAGTTACATTTAACCACTTCAATACCAGGCACTTTTACCCCCTCCCTGCACAGAAAAAATTTCAGCTTTCAGTGCTGTCGCACTTTGAATGACAATTGTGCGGTCATGCAACATTGTACCCATATGAAATTTTTATCATTGCTCGGATAAGGACTTGATAAAAAAACTCATGCGGTATTTTAGTAGTGTGTTTTAGTGAATTTAAACGTTTTTCTAAAAAAATGCTATGCGATATCCTACCGCATATTCAGATGTGGTAAGATACCGCTTACCAATTACAGATGCAAATCCAATACAAAGACCAAGTCAGAACTGCACAGATATGACTGCTCTAATAGTGGACAATAAGATGCGACTTGGCATATGATTTGCAAGTCGCCTGGCATGCAAATCGCACCCAATGTGACCAGGAGGTAAGATATGATGATTCATGTATATGTTCTTGTTGGGGGAAAAAGTTCAGCGGTTGAACCTTTCCAAAATCTGACCTTTTTCTGGACAATTGTCATTGATTCTGGCATAAAATTTACTTATTTTGGATAATTACAACAAAAACAAGTTAAAAAAATACTTGTCCTAGGCCTAAAACAATTAAAAAAAAAAAGAAAAGGATCACAGAATATTTCTCCTATGCCTAATCATAGTTCTGATGATCAAGACTCATGTATTAAGGTATATACAGTATCTACCAGTTACCTTATTGCAGGGGCGTCAGACTCCATTTCATCGCGGGCCGTATCAGCATTATGGTTGCCCTCAAAGGGCCGTTTGTATCTGTAAGACTAGATGTCCAGAGCACCCCACCCCCCATTACAAATGTCAAGAATCCCCCACCCTCCCTAACATCACCGTGCACCCCCTTTGGGGGTAGAGATGGAAAGTAGAAAGTGCAGGGTCTGGAGGAGGACCAGAGGAGGAGCAGTGTCAGTTACCAGAGTCTGCTGAATGCTGAGACAAGGGGAGGCAGAGATGAGGGGTGCTGCAGCTGCAGTGAGAGGTGCAGGATTTGGCAAATGAGTTCTATTCTCCTCTCTACTGCCGACTGCTGAGAGAAGGTGGGGGCAGAGACAAAGGGGGACCTGCAGGAGAGGTGCAAGGGCCACATGGAATGACCAGGAGGGCCTGATTCAGCTCGCGGGCCTTGTGTTCGACACCTGTGCCCTATTGTCTTTGAAATCTTGTTTGTTTATACAGACATACAAGTATGTAATGTAGGAAAAAAAACACTATGTAATAAAAATAAATTACACATTTACCTTTATTTCCAGGAGTAAGAGGTGAAACAAACACAAATATGACCTATAGAAAAACATAAAGGTTCATGAAATGGTTTTAGCTACATGATCAATACAGTATGAATAATGCTGGCATGGGCAATGCACTGAGCCGTGTACCTTGTCTTGTTTGGCAACGTGATAAACCAGCTCCCTACTCCCGGTCTCTAGGCCCTTGTAGGCCAGGGGCTCAAACCCCATTTTATTGCAATAAAATGAGGCAGCCTGTGGTAAAGACACAAGTAAAGCTATTAAGCACACTGGACGAGGACCTGCTAAGCAATATTAAAACTTGTGGACATAATGTATATGTACAAGGCAAAGTAACTGACACATACTATTATGAGAAATGGCAGTTGTATATTTAAAGTGTATCTATGGTCTCTATCTAAAATCATGTATTCATTTCCACATTATATTTCAATTATTTCTAGCCTACTCCTACTATTCTGAACAATCTCAAAGTTTGTAAACTTTGTGAAGATCCCCACACATTTACTTCCGTGACTTGCATGGCATGAATTCACTATGCTCTGTGAGTAGGCACTGCTGTGTCACACATTTCACAGAGCAAATGCATGATAGGTACAATTTGATTGGTTGCTAAGATCAACATTAATCGTTCTTTCCTAGGGTATGTTTGGAAGGGCTTTTGTTTGCTTTGGTGGGCTTTCATGTCCATAGAAATCTATGGGAATGCCAAACGTGTTGAGCAGGTGAAATGCAGGTCAGAAACAGGTGAATGCAGGTTGGATGTACCTGACAATGAATTATGAATAATCTGAAATCAGACGTATCTTAGTCTGATGTCAAACTTATACCACCAACACAGGCCCTAAAATTGTCATTAAAATTTACACTTCGCTAGAGTCAGAAATCAGAAATACCAAATTACAATATTACTTCTTTACAGGCTGAGGGAATGTAAAGTGTTATATATGTGATGTGTAATGTATTTATTTAAATTATAAATTCCCCTTTTGGACAAAAATAATAAATGCAAATTTTTTTGCAGGTAAAAAAAATGTGCATTTATTATTTTTGTTCAAAGGAGCCTGGAGTAAACAACACAGGTCTCTCTCCTGCCAGCAGTAACATGCTGCTGTGTATTTCTCTGCTGTGTATTTTCTCAGCAGAGAAATACACAGCAGCATGTTTCCCAGCAGAGAAATACACAGCAGCATGTTTCCCAAGTGAAACACACAAAGCACACATAGTAAAACAGCACACAGTTAACCCTTTGATCTCCCCAGATGTTAACCCCTTCCTGCCCAGTGTCATTAGTACAGTGTCAGTGCTTTTTATTAGCACTGATAACTGTATTGGTGTCATTGGGATGTCAGTTGCAGTTAGTCCGTTCCCACCCAGTGTTAGAATGCCCACTGCAGTCCTGCTGTAAGTCATTGATTGCTGCCATTACTAATATAAAGAAATAAAAATTCCAGTATATATACTGCCATTTGTAGGCACTATAACTTTCACGTAAAGCAATTAATTTACACATACTGGGATTTTTTTTTTTTAGTAAAGACACATAGCAGAATACATTTGGCCTAAATTTATGACAAAATTAGAATTTTAAAAAACTTTTCCCTGGATATGTTTTATAGCAAAAAGTCAAAAATATTGTTTTTTTTTTTCAAAATTGTCGTCTTATTTGTTTTTAGCGCAAAAAATTAAATACCACCGAAATAAAGCTTTATCCCTCCTAGATTGTAAGCTCCGAGGAGCAGGGCCCTCCTATCCCTCTTGTATTGAACTGTACTGTTGCTGTATTGTCTCCCGTTATATTGTAAAATGCTGAGCAAACTGTTGGCGCTATATAAATCCTGTATAATAATAATAATAATAATTTGTGGGAAAAAAGGACATAAATTTAATTTACGTACAATGTTGCATGACCGCGCAATTGTCAGTTAAAGTAATGCAGAAATCGCAAACAAAATGGCCTGGTCAGGAAGGCAGGTAAATCCTCTGGAGGGCAAGTGGTTAAAGTGGAAATAACACTCTCCTTTGCAGCTTTATAACACCAGGCATTTGATGGCTTTCCAGTTATTTCTGTCGTGCCTTGAATGTAACTCTTTTAAATTGATGGTTTAGGTTCCGCTTTAAACCCTTGAAGAGTGTAAATGATAACAGCGATCGCAGATGCAGAGGCTATGGGGTAGATTTACTAAAACTGGACAACTACAGCTGTGCATGGGAGCCAATCAGCTTCTAACCTCAGCTTGTTCTATTAAGCTTTGACAATAAAACCTGGAAGCTGATTGGTTTCTGTAGAGAGTTGCACCAGATTTTGCACCATGCAGTTTTAGTGAAGAACCCCCTATGACTTAGCTGGAATGTAATTAAATGTCAAAAAAAGCAGGTCACTATTTTCACATTGCCATCGTGGCCTTAAGAAACCTATGTGACACATCCCAGGATCTTCCAGAGTGTGATCAAAATGTGTTCCTACTGAAGCACCAGATGTGGCAAATGCCATAATTGAGAACAGATTGTCAGGAACATCAGACCCTCCCCTCCACTAACCAATCAGAAGCAGCCAATAAAATGATGCCGCATGCATAGCAAAGACGTCTTTTATCTACAGACAGAACACAGAACTGGATTACCTGTTTTGCATTGCTCACCCACAGTGTTATGGAATGAAATCTGAGGAATCTTCCATGTTCATGCTAGGCACAGAAGCACATTATCATTAGCATCATGCAGAAACAAACTATCAAGGCATGATCCCCTTTATAAAACATCCAGAGATTAATTTGCAAACAACAACTAAAAAGTTGCAGCCAAAATGGTACATTGTAAATGACTCATGAGCTCAGGTGAATTCCATTCAGATTATCTGTGTACGTTCCTGATTCTGAAGTTATTATAAATAGGAGTCCAATCATGGTGCTCACCTCCCCATTCAATTCCATATTTTAAATAGGAGTAGACTTTTATCTAATCCAATAAAACAAACTGCATTTCATCAGTAGCAAAGTTCCAATCATCCCAAATGAACATATTTTTCTCCTAATATATCATAAGTAACAGGTGTACAGAGATGATTCAGTAGCTATACCAAAAGTAGCTAATATAGTATAGTAGTTAAACTAACAAACACAAAACATGCAGTAAAGGTGCAAAAATAAATGTTAAATCACTTTTATAAATGAAAGTGAAAAAATACACAAAACAACACCTAATCACAAATTGGAAAGAGTAGATATGAAATTAAAAAAATAAAGTCAAATTTTATATAGAGTAGATATGAGATTAAAACATTTTTATAAAATGTTATATATATATATATATATATATATATATATATATATCATATTTGTTCGCTACTCTTTCCAGTCTGTAATAACTGTATGTATAGTCAATCAATTCATCATAAAGTATAATTGTGCCCTTGTACCTTTTCTCCTTTTTCTGTATATGATGTCTGCAAAAAGAAAAAAAATATTCACAAGATGTGATGACAAACACTTTCTAATTAGTCTACTTGTGTAAGTGTAAAATGTGGAAGCTTACCATAGTGAGAAGCGTGTGTGATCGGTGAAGAGATCTGATATATGTGGGTTGTGATGCTGGACACATCTCATATAGGACTCCAGACATGGGACATCCCTCTTGTGCTCCTCCTTGTTCTGTGTAATACGAGAAAACATTATTCCTGCAGATAATGTCTCAGTTGCACAATTTCATTCAACTTTCAAAGAGTACAAATAACAGCACACAGATCAAACACACAGTGCACATAGTATAGTATAATGATATCCACCTGGAGGTTCTTTGCATGTGCATTCCTAGATATTGGTATTTTATTATATACACAGGAACATCAATTTCTTTCAGTTTATGCCTCCACTACTTTTTCCCAACTTTATTATTTGTTTTCTAATACTTTTTTAGGAGCCCAAGCTGCCTGCACAACTTTATTCCATTTGGCACTATTAGTTGGAGTCGCCCTTAATTGTCTTAAGCCAGCCATACACGGGTCAAATTCCGAAAGAATTTTCTTTCGAAAATCTTTTCTAAGAATTTTTGTTCGAATTTCACACCATTAGTGGGCCACAGCAACAGCTGATTTTCAAGCAACCATCAAATTTGAGTGATCGGGCATGTCGGAAATGTTTTGAAAAACGAATTAATTTCTAATCAATGGTGGGAGAATCGTGCGAGAAATGTAATCAAAAACGAAATGAACATGAGCTGCAACCTGGGAAGAAAAGAAAATTCTTGGCCACAAAAATTATTTTCTGTAGCAAGATGAGGTGAAATTAAAGGCTTGGTTGGTCAAATTTTGAAATCAATGGTGGCACCTTCGGATTACAAAATGCACGAAATTTCCAATTTTCTACAGGTGATTGTAGCCGTATTAGTGCACTTTCGACAGAAACAATTGAGTACTGACATGATACTTTTTTTATTTGCACTAACATACAATTTTGAGGACAAGCTTTCGGGGTATGTCCCCTTCTTCAGGGTCCAGGCAGTACTATTTCACAAAGTTTTAGCAGAATGTTAGAAGAAATGTTGAAAGGGGGAGCAAAAAAAAAAAAAAAAAAAACAAAAAGAGACACACACAAACAAATGTACACAGCAATAAGACTAGGATTAGACTAGAGATAAGACACAGCAAAAGCAAAGCCTTGGGGGGGGGGGGGGGGGGACAACACTTACAGAGGGGGGGGTCGTAAAATTGTTTGATAATGATTGGGGAATCCCATGTCCAAATTCAGGCCGTTATCTCTTGTGTCAAATAGAATTACCATTCTTAGTTCAAAAGTTTTCCTTTCCTGAATAGTTTTGAAATTTCCTTTAAGAACTAAAATATTAAGGTCTTCCATTGTATGGTCTGGTTGTGCGTAATGGTGTCCTACAGGTGTGCAAAAGTCATCTTCTTTATTTTCCTTGATGGTATGTCTATGCAAATTCATCCAATTTTCTACAAAAAATTTGTACAGAATTCAACCCATGTATGGCCTGCATTACTCTTGGAGGACTTCATCAACAGAGGCTGGGCTTCCAATCCAGAAATCAGTGGGCAGAACTAGTTGTGGCCAGGTGCTAATTGACAAGCTACATGCTTGAGAATCAGCAATGACAGTGCAAGATTTTTGTCATCTCAATGTAGTGCAAGCAGGCACAGACTACATGAGAGTGGCAACTCTGCTCTGAATTCAGCATTGTTGCCACACCATCACAGGAAGCTGGATTAGGTGAACTTCACTGGCAGGATCATAGGTAGGCTATAGTTCTACTTTACTTTCAGCATAGAAATGTACTGACCTGCCAGATAGGGCTGTGCTGTGTGGAAGAGCTGTAAAAAATTCAGAACTGGATGGTAGAAATATAAATCCTTTGGCAGGTAAAACAGCTCTCTCACATGTTTTTATCTGTGTATTTAGCTGTGTGCTTAGATCTTCACCTTTTAACAAAAAAATTTACATTTTTTTGCAGGTAATAAAATGTGTGTTTATTATTTTTTTTTGTTTCTGGAGCCTCTAAAGCATGGGTATCAAACTGGCGGCCCTCCAGCTGTTGCCAAACTACAAGTCCCATGAAGCATTGCAAGATTGACAGTTACCAGCATGACTCCCAAAGACAGAGGCATGATGGGACTTGTAGTTTTGCAACAACTGGAGGGCCCCAGTTTGACACCCCTGCTCTAAAGCATTGCACCAGTGATCAGTAGATTGCTGGTGCCATGCAGGTCTCCCCCTGACCTGTCAGTATATCTGCTAGCTCGTACATCACAATTGGATAAGTAGATACTTACTGACAGGAAGGCTCAGTGAACTACCGCAGTGCTGTGCAGTGCCATGGTAGTTCATTGAAAACAACAGCTGCCAAGGCTGTCGGAACTTGAAGTGTTCCCATTCACAGAATACCGTGAATGAATGACGCGGCCGGGTGGGCGGAGCCCCACACGGCCATATTTTTTTAAAATGTGACAGGTAGAGGGGAGGAGAAGATCCCCTACTAGCTGTCACAACGGGGATGGGGGGGTGTGGGGTGTGGGGACGGTACAATCATAACATGTTACGTGTTACACCCTGAATATTGGTATAATATGTTACGAAAGGTTAACTTAGTCTTCTTCCAAATAATTTATCTATGTCTTCATTTATTTACCCTCTTCCTTTTTCCTCTTGTTTTCCACTCAAAAAAATCATCTTCGGATTCTTGCTTGTTGCAGATCTCTGCCAAGCTTTGTAAGGTGCTGCTTTCTTAAATTTTTACTATTTGATGTCCAAAGTTCTAAATTTCTAAATTTCCTGTGCTCCCTTGTACAAGTTTCCCCCAAACTTCATTTGCCGACTAGCCAGCAGTAATTTTTCTACTGGCTTGATCTGTATTTGGCAAATTTATATACCATAGTTTGTAGAGTCTATAACTTTTACACACACTAAATAATAAACACTGATTTGGGTTATTTTTACCAAAGAAATGCAGCAGAATACATTTTTGCTTACATTTATATAGAAAGATTATTTGTTTGCAACATTTTATAACAGAAACTAAAAAAAAACATGTTTTTTTTTTTCAAAATCTTCAGTAATTTTTTGTTTATATAGAAAAAAAAAGAAAATAACAGTGGTGATTACCATATTTTTTGCTCCATAAGAAGCACCTGACCATAAGACACACCTAGGTTTTAGAGGTGAAAAACAAGGTCCAACCCAGTAAATGCAACAGTTGTTCTTGCTTTTATTTCTATGAAAATATTGATTTAATTTACTGTGGAGCCACATAGAAGAATGATCCCCTCAGATACCTGGTGAAGAATGCTGAGAAACAGGGGCTACCCACAAGAGGAAATATTTTGAATTTGCACACATACCTGTGGAACACGTACCTGGGAAGAATACATGGACATTTACAAATCACAAATACCAAGACTGCACTGGGATTTATTTAAAAATGGCCTAGACTAGAGTTGGTTAAACAGATGGTTGAGCTGATGATTTTATACACAAAATAACTGTCTAGTCACACAAATGCTAATTACAGTTGTACTTGAAATAGTGAGTTTATATCAAGGCGGTATTAAACCCCAAAAACAAAAATGTAATATATTGTAGTTTACCAATAAAAGTGATGGCTGCGTACTTTTTTCAGGCTGTGTTTTTTTCCTTTATTTTTACATGATGATACAGCAGTAACACACTTCATGTCTTATGGTGTCTCTACTTTGGATGGAGGAGCAATGGGAACACCTTTGGACAGCGGCATTGTCAGCGTGGGGGAGGGCACTAGCAGACATACCCCTCTGACCAGTGGGACAACTCATGGGACCCCTGGGCAATATGGGATCATGGGGCCCCCATGTCCTTGCCCAAACTCAAAAAAGCCTATGAAAAAGGTACCAGGGGCATCTCATGGGGCCCCCTACTGACCCCGGGCCCTCGGGCAGTGCCCGAGGTTCCAAATGGTCAGTCCGCCCCTGCCTCTCACATCTCACATAGCAGGAACCAGCAATTTTTTTACCTCAATTTACAGGTAAAACTCGAAAAATTAGAATATTGTGCAAAAGTTCATTTATTTCAGTAATGCAACTTAAAAGGTGAAACTAATATATGAGATAGACTCATTACATGCAAAGCAAGATAGTTTAAGTTGTGATTTATCATAATTGTGATGATTATGGCTTACAGCTCATGAAAACCCCAAATCCACAATCTCAGAAAATTAGAATATTACATGCAATCAATAAAACAAGGATTGTACATAGAACAATATCGGACCTCTGAAAAGTATAAGCATGCATATGTACTCAGTACTTGGTTTGGGCCCCTTTTGCAGCAATTACTGCCTCAATGCGGCGTGGCATGGAAGCTATCAGCCTGTGGCACTGCTGAGGTGTTAAGGAAGACCAGGATGCTTCAATAGCGGTCTTATGCTCTTCTGCATTGTTCAGTCTCATGTCTCTTATCTTTCTCTTGGCAATGCCCCATAGATTCTCTATGGGGCTCAGGTCAGGCGAGTTTGCTGGCCAATCAAGTAATCCCACGGTTATTGAACCAGGTGTTGGTGCTTTTGGCAGTGTGGGCAGGTGCCAAGTCCTGCTGAAAAATGAAGTCAGCATCCCCATAAAGCTTATAAGATAAATAGTGCAGCGCTTGATGTTATATGACTGTACCAGTATTGGAGATGGTACAATATCCCTTACTTAAATGTCAGCAGATGTGGACCATACGCATTATATGTGACCAAACACACTATATGTGATCCTCCCATAAGTTGGAAACAAGAGGGGGAGAAGGAATGACATGAGCTCCAACAGTTTTTCACTTCACAATACAAAACGCACAATATAAATGCACAGTATAGTCCAATCATCAAAGAAACACAGATGAGTGTATCCCGATGAGATCTTTGTAATGCATGTAGTCCGGCAATGTGCAGAAGAAATGAATGAATTGCGCACTC